CTTGTCTCGCGTTCTGGTACTTTGGATAATAGTTTGATCCCTTCTTCTTTGTGCCAGCCCTTCAAAACACTGTAATGGTGTCACCCTTAGTCCTTCTTTTTATTATACTAGCCCTACCCAATTCCTGCAACGTTCTTCATATGTCTCAGCCTTAAGGGGCCCAGTAATATTTGTTGCTCTTCTCTTTCCAAAATCTCAACAACATTTGTATAATGTGGTGAGCAAAATTGGATGCACTGTTCCAGTTGTGTAGTCTTGCTAGTACTTCACATGATCTTGATTCTATCTCTCTGTTTAATACAGTTTGGGATTACATTGGCTTTCAAACTGAGTAGGTGAATTTTTCATTTTCTTATAGCAAAGACTCTGACACCTAAAAAATAATCAGTACTGCATGAAGTCCTCACTAGAACAGTGATCAATCCTCATTGACTAATAAAGGATCATCTGGGGCTCAGTCATCTGAAGAGCTGTTCTGAAGAAAGGAGAAGAAAGGTTTTTGTTTGGCTTCAGATTCACTTCCTCTCACTGTGTCTCGTGCACAGTAATAGACAGCCGTGTCTTCGGTTTTGAGGCTGTTCATTTGCAGATACAGCTGGCTTTTGGCATTGTCCCTGGAGATGGTGAAGCGTCCCTTCACTTTGTCAGAGTAGTAAGCGTTATAACTGGTGTCTATGTATGCCACCCATTCCAGGCCTTTCCCTGGAGCCTGTCTCACCCAGTCCATCCAGTAGCTGCTGAATGTGAATCCAGAGGCCTGGCAGGAGAGACGGAGGGACTCTCCAGGTCTTCTCACCTCCCCTCCAGACTCCACCAACTGAACTTGAGATTTGACTCCTAAAAAGAAAGGAGCTTTTTAAATAGATATCTTGTATGCAAGAGGAGAGCATAGAAATCAGCTATAATTACCTTTGAGGACTACAAGTATGGACAGAAGTTTTAGCAACATTTTGCTCCCTATAATGAATAGATGAAATTGATAGGAGAGGATTCTGGAAATAGCTGAAGGGTTATGTTGTTGGGTGTTGTCTTAAAAGTATATTGGGCATCTTTAAAGGGGAAATTGTGTCTTGATTTGCATATCTATTGGGATAAAAGAGTCACACAGGGCCTTGATTAACCCTTAACCACAGACATACTATTCCAGCTACGCTATTACAGACAGAATGACCACTCTAGCTCCATAGTTCATTAATTGGACAACAATATTATAAACTACAGCCTTGACTAGACACACTTTTGTTGGCAGGGTGATGACTCTGCATGGAAATTTGAAATCCCCTTAAACATTCCAGGCAGTTTCCCTCCTGAAAAACACCAACAATTTTATTAAAATCCTCAACTTTGTGGTCGAGATCAAAGGGCCCCTGAGATGTGAAATTCTCTTGAGAGAACATTCAGTGAACTATGACAAAAAAATAAAATAAAAAAATTGTCACGTTTTCAAAATGAAGCAATATCTCAAAATGCTTGTTTTATTCTCTATCCCACCCCCCTTGGCCATGGAGTTTGGTGTGACAACGTTGCCCCCTGGTGTCCAAAGTGAGGAGAGGACGCAATCTTCCTAATTCTCTGAGGAGACTCTTTAGGTCCAGATGTTTCCTCAATATCTGTGTGGCAGTTTGGATATTTATAAAGATCATTCTCATGCTTCATTTCCTGTCTTATGCCAGGATACTCAGGACTGCCTTAACTGAGGGGCCTGATGGGCTGTTGCCTGTGGCCCCACAAGCATAGGGGCCCCATACTAATCTGTGTACGTTAACCCTTCAATGCATCTTGTATCATATAAGTACATCAACTGTATGGCTTACTGAGTATTATTGTGTTTTTTCAAGCCTCGTGTGTTGTTCAAATGTTTATCATGTTGATTAGTTTTTCAGGTCCAGCATGTTTTTAATGTTTCAACACCAATTTTGTTGTAAGTACCAATGAAATAAATATATGTTCAATTTTAAGGGACGAGGTGGCTCAGCGGCTAAGACGCTGAGCTTGTCGATCTGAAAGACTGGCACTTTGGTGGTTCAAATCCCTAACACCGTATAATGGGGT